ATCCAGAAATCTGGAACTACTTCACAGTGAAATATGTGTTTTTAAATTCCATATCAGTCTTCTATGTAATTGTTTATGATCACTACTGCAACATTTTGTCAGCATGCCCTGGGCTCACACTAACTGAAGATTAAAGGCAACAGGCTTGGAGGGACATGAGGGAAGGGGATTTCGTGAATGGTAAAAACATCATTTCTGTGAAACTCCTAGTTTCTATTTGTCATATAATCACCATATTGGTTTCTTTGAAACACTATTCTAATAAGACTTATTCAAAGCCAGGATTTTTACAGAGTAAACCCTTTGCCAAGGTGGAGGTCATGCTTTAGAGAATTTCCTTTTCCTTTCCTCACATCTACGCCTGTTTCTTTCCAGAAATCGGCCCTGCCTCTGTGATGGTAGGAAACCTGGTTTCTGGGAAGAGGATCGCCCAGGCTAGTGGCAGAGACCTGGGCCAGATAGAGGACAACGACCAGGCCCGGAAGGTGAGACTGGGACCCTCATGTGGCATCCTCTCAACTTGGGAGTCCCACTAGATGTTGTGTCACAATGAATGTCCCCTGTCCTCCCCACTTTGCCAATTCAACATCTGCCAGCTTCTGCATCGCTAGTGATCTTACCATCCCATGTGACCTGCTGTTCCTACAAGAGACATCCATGCAGTTGTTTTAGGAAAATGTGTTTACTAGGGGTTATGACATTTTGGAACATTTCATAGCACAGGAATGGGTAAATGGTCTCATAGTCCACAACTAGTAGGACTGAGGTGAATGTCCCATTCTGGGGTTCCTCTGTGTTCTTGTTTCTAATTATCCCTGTCTGCTCTGGTTTGAAGCCCACAATGCCCTCCAGTGACCTCGCTACAAGCCTCCCATGCTTTGGTCTTTAGAATATAAGAGCACGTCAGTTCAAAACCCAGACTTTGGAGTAGCTTCAGCAGCTATAGAAGAAATCCTTGAGCTCTATTCCACCACAAATACCATACCATACAATTGTCTGAAGAATCTATGAGCTGCCCCCATTATAACCTTTAACCTTGAGAATGCTTGAGATTCACCAAAAATTCCATTATGTGCTGGCTATTAGAAAAAGTAACAACATTTAACTATTGCCATTTAAACTATTGCCAGTTTGATAACATATAATATGGCATTAGCTGAAAGCACTAAATCACCACGCCACCATCCACATCATACATTTCTGTTAATAAAAGGGAATGATTCCTGTATCCTGATGTGCAATGGGGCTTATCTTTACTATGGACTGAATCACTGCCATGTGTATGCTCTGTTTAACTCACAGTGCAACTTAATGTCTTCAGAGAATTGCCATTCTGAAAACATTTATTTAAGAGAGCCCTATTTTTTAAACAATACATCTGAATCCTTTTTTGCAGTCTAGATAAATCAATGCTGCATCTTCTGGAAGCCACAGGAGAAAGGATTTTCTACACCAGCTGCTCCTGCTTCTAAGGGAAATAGTTCCCCCACCCTTGGGCAGACTTTCAGAAAACTCCCCCAATGAAGGGTTGAGTGCCAGCTCTTTGATTAGTGAATCTACACCAGGTGCAGTGAATTGAGAGTCCCTGCAGGAGAAAAGTTATAAGCACTTGCTTGTTCTGTCAATCGTATATTTGTCAGGGGTTTTCCTGAAAGCACATGTTGTAATTTCTCTGTGGAGAAGCAGGCTGTTTAAGACACTCAGAAGCTTGGACACAGACTGTATCAATTTCATCTTGAGCCTGCCCATCCAGACTGCAGGGCCTGACCTGAGCCTGTCCTCTGTTGCAGTTCCTGTTTCTCTCAGAGGTCTTGCAGTGGAGGGCCCAGACCACCCCTGACCACGTCCTCTACACGCTGCTCAACTGCCGGGTGAGGCTCTAAGCTCGCGATTCCTGACGCTCACCAAGTGGGGCCTGGGCTGGTTCCAGCGAAGCACTCTTGCTTCTCCATCATAGTCCTGACTTAATCTCCTCATTCCTGTTTTATGTGAATTCCTTTCATTTATTTATTTTTGCTATTTTGACTGATGAGACTGCTTTACTTAAAGACTGCTTTTAAATATAACAATTTTTACACGCACACATATATACTACCTATCATTGTAGGTATTTTAGCAACCCTGTTTTAATATTTCTCCACCAAAAATATGTTATTAATAATATCTACAACAGAGAGCAATTGCAGATATATGAGATAGTTATGCTTTTATTTTGATTACTGAACTATTAGATTGTTTGGAAAGTCATGACATATTTTTTTTTTGGGGGGAGAGATTTTCACTGTAGGGCACGTGCGCTCGCCAGACAGACAGAGACATAGAGACAGAAAGCGAGAAATCACCCCCCAGGGGGGATGGTCACACCGCAATCCCTTCTCCTCCATTCTCCTCTCGGGATCTTGGGCACGCACGCACACGTGCCCGGCGTGAGTTTTAAGCCACCGGGTCCGGGACGTGAACCGCGGTCGACTACGTGGGAGTCCAGCGACATAGCCATTACGCTAACTGCTGGTTCCCATGACATATTTTTCTATGCAAAAATATATCATGACTTCCCTGATGACCCAGTACTTTTTATAAATAAGTTATGTATTGATTGCAGATTCTCTGGAATGAAAATTATTTCTACTTTATAAAGTTTTTATTCACATTTTACATTAGAAAACTAAACATTTTTCCATTTAGTACTGAAGAGTAAGGCCTTAACTATACTAGCAAATTTTAGTGATGATGTGATGATGATGATGTCGATGTCAGTGGCAGAGGGAAAAAGCAGGCACCTCTCAATGGGGCATAGTCCTACAACCTTTTCCTCCATTTCTCCATCCATCAGGATTTGGGGCATGCACTCACACATGTCTGGCATGTTTTTCAGCCTTCTAGAGCTAGGGCTCAAACTGCAGTCATCCATGTGGGATCCAGCTCCCTATGCATAATGCTTAACTGCTGCACTATGGCTCTGGCCCACAGATATAAACAACAAAAATTAGATGCAAAAGTCTTAGTATGTTTGTTAACTTTTTGCTGTGAAAATAAGGCTTTGAAAAATGTAGGCCTTCTTGGCAGGTTATAAGCACTTATAGCTCTTGAAAAATGCTATTCAGGGACCAGCAGTTAGCGTAATGGCTATGTCGCTGGACTCCTACGTAGTCGACCACGGTTTGCGTCCCGGACCTGGTGGCTTAAAACTCACACTGGCGCATGTGCGTGTGTGCCCAGGATCCCGAGAGGAGAATTGAGGAGAGGGGATTGTGGCGTGGCCATCTCCATCCCCCCTGGGGGGTGATTTCTTGCTTTCTGTCTCTCTGTCTCTGTCTGGCTGGCAAGCACACGTGCCCTATAGCGAAAACCTCTCAAAAAAAAAAATGCTATTCAGAGCTACTAAATATGAGTCTTAGCGTGTAAAGCAGGAGACTAATGACAAAAGGAAATACCAATGGCTTGACTCCATTACTTTTTGAGTCTCTAATTTCCAGTTACCAGCTATCTTTGCATGTGGTTTAATTCATATAGACAATCTCATCCTCCTCTACTGCTGAGGCGCTTTCTGTGAAGTGCTTTTGTGCTGAGCGTGCTCTGTATCTGCTGACCTGTTTCTCGGGCAGTCTTTAGAAGTATGAAAGCCCATTTGCACATTATCTTTTGGCCCCTGCACTTGCTGACCGCATCTGAGGGGAACTCTCCCCTCGGAGTAACCTTGCTGTGCTGACAGCTCACGCACTCCTCATTCACATTGGTGTGGCTGTGGAGTCTGGAGCTTTAGAGACCTCTCAATTGTCCTGAGTCCATGAATCTGAAATATTTGCCTTTCCTTCTCCTCTGTCTGCACCTGGACCCTTCCTCAGCCTAGAAATTCAAATTAGACCCCCATTTTCTCAGTAGTCATCCAGTTTGCCTCCCTTGGCTTTGCTGATACAATCCTAATTTCCCTTTTTTTAATTTTTTGCATATTTTTGAATTGAAGTATAATTCTTCATTCTAACTATTGTGAATTGTCTGGTAAAGTTCGTTTTGCATATTTTAATTGTTGTACGACCATAACAACTATATAATTCCAGAATATCTTAATTACTCGTAAGAAAACCATGTAATTTGTTAACTTTGACATCTCCCTTTTGCCCCATCATTTCCTCTAAAAACTGGAATAAGACAAGGATGCCCACTTTCACCATTCTTATTCAACATAGTCCTGGAAGATCTAGCCAGAGAAATTAGACAAGAGAATTCTCCCTCCCCCCCACCTTCTCTGCCTCTAGTAACCACTAGTCTACTCTCTCCTTCTGTAAGGTTTATTTATTTATGTATTTATTTATTTTACCTTCTATATATGAATGAAAACACGCAGTATTTTTCTCTGTGCCTGGCTTATTTTACTTAATGTTCTCTAGACTCGTTCATGTTGCCTTGAATGACAGGATTTCATCCCTCTTAATGGTGGGGTAGTTTTCAATTGTATGTGTGTTTGTGTTGTCCATATTCATTCTTCTTTGATGGACACTTAGGCTGATTATATCTTGGCTATTGTGAATAGATTTGCATAGTACTATGATAATGCTGATTTCCTTTCCCTTGATATGTGCCTCATAGTGAGATTGTTGCGTCCTAAGATCTATCCATTCTTTTTTAAGAAGTTTATTCATTTATTATGAGTGAATGAGACAGATATAACACCCGTGACAGCATCTTCATGCTACTATCCACCCCCCAGCATCAGCCAGCCCTGGATCACGTCTGCATGCCTGTCCAGCATACTCAAGGAGGTCTTTAGGTGTGAACCGGCAACCTTCACATGTGGGCCTGCCTTGCAAAGAGTGGTTTTTTAGCACTGTGCAACCATCTTTAGTTCTTTGTTTTGTCCAGTTACTTTCTTTCATATGGGACAGAGAGAGAGAGAGAAGCACCCTCAATTGGATTTCCCACCATATCTCCCCACTCGCTTCCCCATAGCTTTTTAGCTATAGTTTGTTCTGGGAAATGAACCCTGATATTCCACATGGCTTCCAGCAATAGACTGTTACCACCACAGAAGCTTGGTCTGTTACTAGCTAGTCGAGGAACTACTATACTCTTTTCCATAACAGCTGTGTTAGTTTTACATTCCCACCAACTGGATGTGAGAGTTCCCCTCTCTCCACATCCTCAGCAGCATTAGTTACTTTTGGCCTTTGGATAACAACCATTTTAACTGGTTTGAGAGATATCTCATAGTTTGAAAAGCATTTCTTTGATGATTTGTTGTGTTGAGCATTTTTTCTTATACTTATTGACCATTTGTATTTTTTTAGTTAAAATTTTTTAGAATTGTTTATTTAATTGTATTTATTTGTTTATTTTAATTTGATCAGAGAGAGACAGAAGGGGGGGGAGTGAAAAATCAAGCCGTCAGGTCTGGGACCCATAGTACGGTCCACATGTGGGAGTCCAGTGCCTTAATCCCCATGTCCCTTGCTGGCCCCAAGCCATTTGTATTTATTTTAAGAAATACTTATTCAAATCAGCTCACTTGCTTACGTTTAAGTCTTTGATAAACTTTGAGTTAATTTTTCTTTGTTGTAAGATATGCAGATCTAGTTTCATTCTTCTGCATGTAAATATCCAGTTTTATTAACACAATTTATTAGAGGTTATCCTTTCTCCAGTGAATGTTCTTGGTGTACTTGTCAAAAATTAGTTGGCTATATGTATGTGGATTTATTTCTGGGTTTTCTGTTCTGTTTTGTTGGTCTGTGTGTCTGTCTTTATGGCAGTAGCACACTGTTGTGGTTATTACTGTTTTGTGTTGTATTTTTAGTTTATATAGATTTTTTATTTACCTTTTTTTTTTTTTTTTTTTGCCATAGGTTGCATGTGTTCACTAGAAAGAGACAGAGACAGAGAGTAAAAGCAAGAAATCATCCCTCAGGGAGATGGCCATGCCGCAATCCCTTCTCCTCCATTCTCCTCTCAGGATCTTGGGCACGCACGCACACATTTCCTGTGATTTTCAAGCTGCCAAGTCCGGGGCTCAAACTGCAGAGTTGGCTATGTGGGATTCAGCACCTTAACCACCCTGCCATCTTCTGGCCCCTCCTAATGACTTTTAAATCTGGCAGTGTGTTACCTTCAGCTTTATTCCTTTTGCTTAGGGTTGCTCTGGCTATTCAGAGTTTTTCGTGTTTCCAAATGTTACAGCTGTTTTTTCTAGTTCTATGAAGAATCACATTGCTATTTTGATTTAAGCATTTGTAGATGCTTTTTATAGTATGAACATTTTGACACTATTGGTTCTTCCATTTCACAAACATTGGGATGTCTTTCTGGTGTGTGTGTGTGTGTGTGTGTGTGTGTGTGTGTGTGTGTGTGATTTGATCAGTATTAGATAGTTTTCATTATGGAGAACTTCCCTACAAATCTTTTTTTTTCTGTTTTGGGGGGTCAGGGTGATTATAGCTATTATAAATGATATTGCTTTCTTAATTTATTTTTCAGCTAGTTTATTATTAGTGCATAAAAATGCTACTGATTTTATATATTGATTTTTTTTTTCATTCTGTAACTTTACTAACTTAATTTATCAGTTCTAAAAGTTTTTGAGTTTCTATATGTTTTTCTATATGCAATTATATCGTCTCAAACAGGGACAATTTGACTTCCTTCCAATTTAGATGCCCTTTGTTTCTTTCTCCTGCCTAATTTCTCTGGCTAGTTTTCCAGCACTACATTGAATAGGAGTGGTAAAAGTAGGCATCCTTGTCTTGTTCCAGTTTTTAGAGGAAATGCTTTCAACTTTTCTTCATTCAGTATAATGTTAGCTGTGGGCTTATCAAATACAGCCTTTATTGTGAAGAGTACATTCCTTCGATATCTAATTTGTTGAGAGTTTTTCTTATTT